TGTATGATATTGGGTTCATTAACACAAATATCATATATGAATTTCTGGTTAAAAAGCACCCCGCAGAGGCCGAGGAGAACTTGCTACAATTGTTGATCAAAAATCAAAACAAAGATTTAATACTCTTTCCTTACAACTCCCAGTGAGTGTTACTGTCGTGCGCAGATTCCACTATGTTATTCTAGAGATTAAGCTTGAGCGGGGAGTAGTAAACGTCTTAGACTCTAGAAGAAAAGATCCCCAAACCTTTGCGGGCATGACTAAAATACTCAACAAGTAAGTTCAATCGATCATTTATCGCACCATATCGGCAACTTTTTGTTCATTTCCTGATATCTCAAGTAATAATATTTATTTTCTTTGTCTTGCAGGGTTTGGAAACAGTTTACCGCAGAAGTTCCGGTACTGCTGAAGGAGCTGCGATATACATACCCGAAAGTAAGTACTACTAGCTAGCTAGTTGTGCGCATCTCCCGTTGATTCTATAGCTGTACTTTCATCAATGCCATTTATAATGCTTTATTATCAGTTTGATTGACCTCTATTTCTCGTAAAGTGCTTGTGGCAGAAACAAGGGAATGATTTCTGTGGATACTACGTGTGCGAGTTCATCTACAACGTGACTTTGAAACATAAGCGGGGCTACTCTAAAAGACAATATGAAGTGCGTAAGAAATAATATTCACAATTTCATTTTGTTACGCCATCATTTTTGTTGAGTTTCATTCATATATGTATTAACCCCCTTCTTCAAATTAGACGTGGCAGATGCGGGATAAACTCCTAGAACAAGATCCCATGAAAGCAATTCAAGAGGAATTGGCGGGATTCTTTCTTGACCACGTCATCAATAAAGCCGGAAGAATATCATGTGGAAATTGATTTCAATTGCTAGGGGATTGTAAGAGATTTTACATATTGTATATGTATGTAGCCAGTAGCGTCGGATAGATAATACAAAAACTTGTTATTCGACCAATCTCTCGGAGAAGGAGAGGTCGATCGATCACTTCTCTCGGTATGCATGACGAACTTCTGCACTTAATGGTTCCCTTCATTTTCTTACTAGCTAGCGTGTCGAGGGCCTCTCTATGTACAGTATGTAGCGTTGACCAAGCACGGACATAAGAGAGGACACTTCTCTCTATTAATTAGCTAGCTAACACAATATATTAAACACCTAAATTAACCCCCCAAAATCCCCAACC